TATTTGTAGGAGTAGTAATTGCGTACTTCCATAAATGTAAAAGCTGTTTGTTTCGATTCAGAATCATAAAAGAGAGCCATTCTAGGATATGAAGCTGCTAGTCAGGGATTTTTCAAAAAGTGGATCTGGGAAGTTGTTGTAGCTTCAACAAGTTTTACTCACAAGTTTTCGTATGCCCATACTACCATCTAGCAGAGATATTGAAGCTCCTTTCTTGTTAATTTGTTGAAAGGCCCAAAAGTTATGAAGATAGTTACTGTCTTGTTAGCATGTATGCATAGTGACAGCCAGGAAAATGCGCCACTCGACTACCTTCCTTGGAAGCAGGCGATAATTGAACTACGCCAGTTTTTACTTTAGTCCGTTCCTACACCAAATGTTATCTCTCACGACTACGCAAACTCCAAAGTAGTCATAATTGATTGGTAATCATAGTTAATCCTTTCAGGGAGTCTCGCCCAGTTTGTTTCTTGAAATCAAGAAAAAATTCACTGGGCCTTTTTTTTGAAAAGCAGGAGTAACTAACGTTATGAATGCTCCAGCTGCATTCGAATCTTTTTTGATTTTCGATGGTGAACGTAAGATATCTGTTGAAAACGATACCAAGGTTCGTTCTCGTCGCTTTAACTATTGTCAAGTTACGCTGAATGCTCAGCTTTAGGTGCCAAATGCCGCTGTCTTCACTATCAACAAAGAGGATCACACTCTAGGCAATTTATTAAAACAGTAGGTGCCCAATATTTTTCACTATGTTGAGGAGGTTTTTGTAGTTGCTTCAATTGCGCCTTAACTCGTTATTTTATTCTTCAGTTAGTCGTTGAAAACCACTATATTGCAATTAACAGTCTTGATAAGTAACTTATGTTTGTCTAATTTTATTCCTAATGATGCCTTTTCGCCTGCAGCGTTTGGGAATAGGCTGATGGGATTAAGATATAGAGAATCTCTTTTCATGAATTCAAAATGGTTACCCATTGATGCTTATATGGACAATGATGAGGTGTAATAGTTTTCAAGTCGAAATATGCGCCATGCCGGTGGGAGTGCATACATCACTCATTCAAAATACTCTTTCAACAAGGTGTTAGAAGGATATGGACTAGAGATACATCCCAGCATCTAATGGACTCTTTCTTGGAGAACTTGCAAATGTCTTTTCTTGCTGACCTTGCAGCTATTTCTCAAAAAATCTTTAATCAAATGGCTATGCGAAAGTCCTGATATGGTTTTTGTTTTATCCATTTAAAGATGTTAAATTTTTCCATTGTTGTTTTAGGGTGAGTTGAGAGTTTTGCAGCATTACCTTACAGGCTCCACCCTTCAATATTGTTAGCACCAAAATTCATGATTTTTTCCAGACAAATTAACGCTGCCATCTGCATCGTGGTATACATCTTAACATAAACGATCACAATGAGATAACTCCATCTCACTTAGTTTTGCTGAACCTTACAAAGACTCAATTATATACATCGTTTCTAGAACTGAAGTGTTTTCACTATATAAGCCTCATCACAACTTCCAAAAGTTCTTTGCTTGTACCAGGAACCACAAAAAAGGTGGCCTTATAAAGCAACATCCGCAAATTATAAATAAACGCGATTCTAAACACAACCCGGGTCTTCTGTATACATTATGCACATTCGCGAAAGCATAAATTCATCGTGTGGCTGATCGTGACTGGAACATTTAAGCTCATTCGTGAACGACAGAGTATTGCCAAAGAAGAAGTTTCCTAAGCCTAGTGCTTCATTTACTTTGAGAAGATTTCATCATAGCCTATCGACCAATAACATGGAAATTTGGAAGGATATGATTATCTTCAATTGTAGTCTTATGATGACGTGGCTTAAATTACAAAACATTCTCTCCTAATCTCTGCCTCTGTCAACCGCTCTTTTCAGTCAGCTGTTGAAGGATCCAATGGTTCTGTTTGCTGGGTACAAAAATCCTCATCCTCTTGAACATAAGGTGAGTTTTACACGGTTATGAACTCTCGTCGAGAATTGATTGCTATCTTTCAAAATTTGCTCATTTAGATTGTCCTCCGTGTTCAAACAACAGGTCAAACTACACCAGCTGACGCTTTAATAAACGCTATCACGGATTTGATCGCGGAACTGTCGCTGTTTGAGGAGAGATTTAAAGTAATTCTCATATATCATTTCCTTATTATACCTCTTCGCATGCATTGCCATCTTTAGGAAGCTGCTGAAGGACGAAAACGAATGAATGAGACGCTTTACTAATCACTGCTTGGTTTGTAAGATTGAGCTTCCATTTTTTATACGTTTCTTATGTATTCTCTGCACATTGATTTTCTGTTATTCACAATTTGCCAGTTGATCTCTACGTCGACAAAATTTGGAAATTTCGATACTTTACCTTGTTAGCCTGCCACTTTGCTGTGGTAGAGAAGTCATGTTTGTAAAGCGTATGGTCGTGGTCCGTTTGGCTTGGCGTGATCTGCCGTGGAAAGCTTGTTTATTTTTGATTACGTCCAGTTACCTATATCATGTTAAACGGTTTTTGCTGAAACGTGTAGTATTCCTCATTTTTGAAGATGTTATAAGTATGTAGAGTTTGAAGAAATGAACTTCGGCACATGCTCATGTTCTTATTTCTTATCAGTTATCCTGCTTGAATATTTTGATGAAATCATACATCGTGTTCTCAGCTATATCTCCATTCCATTTCCTCTTTCCTAAGAAAACGGTCAATCCCTTTATTTCAGCAGTGTCACATGCGAGGATGCTTTCTATATCGCAGATAACAACAACTTTCATACTCTTACGCGTGCTGCCCACATCTTGCTTCTCTGGATGGTATGATATCGAGGAAGTCAGGTAAAAATTTTTAGATTTGGCACTGTTGATAGTTTAGGATCTATGCATACTTCAGGAATACTCTCTATGAACCAGATATCTCTTCAGTATTGTCAGGAATCAATCCTACCTTCAATCTTAGTATCTTGTCTCCTGATAATAAAGATAGCATATTGGAGAAGATCTACGAGGAGATGCCTACGGTAGAAATTTCACAATCCTCCTTCTACTGCTCATTTCTTTTTTTTATAGAGGGACAACAAGAGTTACATCTTTATCAAGAGCAAAACGGGACAGATCTTTGCCTGTAGATTACCGCTAGTGAAACCACAAGAAAAGCCCCGAGAAACCAGCTATAACCCCAAATATCTGGCGGAGCTTGTTTCAGCGAGTTTCTATGTGAAGAATTGCATCACTAAGGTACTGCTCATTTTTCTTTCAATGATATCCTTAGCAGTCATTTTGTTAAGGACCTTGGATGGTGGAAGTATAAGCTTTGCAGAGGTATCGATGTGAAACAATTTCATGGAGCAAGTATGTTCAAAGTTTTTGTTTTTCCTTACGAAATTCAATTGGAAACTTTCCAGAGAATGAAGCAGCGCAGATTACAAATTCGCTTGGGATTTTCTTAGGAAAATATGCAGTGCCTCAATATCAGGTGAGTCTTTTTTCCTTGCAATGATGGTGGAAGCCCCGAAATATAAAGTAGTTATTTGTCAGACCATCAGCGTCTATCTATTTTGCTGGTAATGATAGCAACTTCTAAGATGGTGACCCTTCAAACCTCTCTTTCAATTACTTCTTGATTTCAACATTGTTCAAGCTCTTTTGAAATGAATCAGTATGATCATCTTTTCATGGGAAAATATTCAGACATCCACAGCCGACCGCTTGATGTATTTGGAAGAGCAGTATGAAGGAGGCACCCTTTGCGATTTACCAGATAAGAAATCGGCGAGGAAGACAGCAGTGAGAGTAGGCTTTTTCATTTTTGTTCAGCCTTGTTTTGCATCCGGTATAGAATAATCGAGGATTGATAGTTCATTCAGAACGACCGCTGCGCGCACAAGCTTATCAAGGTGCCCATTCAGTGGGAATAAAAAATGTTGCTTCAGTCAATACACTCGGTCAGATTGTGATCTAGCAAGTGCCTAGACGAGTATTTGTGGATTTTCACGGTTCTCGGTTTTTCCCTCGTGTTTGTGCTACGAGAGGATAGCGTTAATGAATGAATTTGAAACATGCCATTGCTTCCTGCATTTTCACGCTAAGCTTGAAATAACAGTGGTATTAGAAAATAATTCTCTGTAACTAAGTAGGCTGATACGAAATTATGAA